TGAGCTACTTGGGCTGCACTAGTCAAAGAAAATAAATGGAAGTCTTCCTTCACCAACTTTCCTGTCCATTTGTGCTATGATCATCTAGACATGGACATGCCAACTTCCCTCTCTCCCTCTTTCTGGTGAAGTTTTGTTTTGCTTTGAGCTCAAGTTCAATTTTCTTCGGAAGCAATTCTTCTGTAACTGTCAATACATTAACCTGTCCCTCCACCTTCAAAATTAATGACGATTATTTCGAGAGACTAAAACTTAATGTAATACTAACTCAACACTTTGTGAAATGAAAATTGGAAGGAACTAGCCCGTCCGGCATGCAAAATATTAAATGGACCTACGGATTTAGGAAAGGGTGTGTTTGGTTTCGGATTTGCGGTCCATTCATCATTAAGATTTTATTTTTTAAATAAGTTAAATTTCAATTTGATTCCTTAATTTTGATAAAAAATCACTTTTTAATTTTTAAAATTTGAAATTCGATTTTTTTTATTAAATTTTATATATGAGAGAAATTAGATGATAAAAATTTTAAAGTAAAAAAATTAAAAATGAATTATCTTTTTATTTATTTTAAATTTTTTAAATCTTTTTACTTTAAAATTTTCACCATTTAGCATGTTATATATGTAAAATTTAATAGAGGAATTAAAAATTAATTATATTTCAAATTTTAAAAATAAAAAAGATTTTTTAAGTAAAAAAATAAAATTTTTTTATTAAAATAGAGGAACTCAAATAAAAATTTAACTTTTCAAATACATTTATGATTTTATTTATTAGCTTGTGCTTTTAAAAAATTAAAAATAGTTTTTAAAACGTTGAGTCATGAGTGCTTGTCGCTGACCGTCAAAGGACAGAATAATGTCGGTGAGAAGAGGCATCCAGCCAAGCCACAAAAAGAATCCATAGCATATATAGAGCACATATTCATAATACGATGTTCCATAGCAACCACTCGCGCCTTGAAAGCATTATGCACGCGCAGGTACATTAATTAAAAATAAGTTAAACCTCCATTTTGATCTCTTGTATGGATTTTTAATTGAATTCATCAATTCAAAAAATCCATGATTTAATCTTTATCTTTTGTCATTTTACCCCCAACTTAGCCATTTTATTAATTTTTTCACGTTAATTGATGGAAGAAGCATTACGTATCTAAAATTTTCACACAAAAATTGATACATTGGTAAAAATAAATGACATAATTATCCCAACTTATCCCATCCAAAAAAAATCCATTTTTTTAGCCTCTTTTTTTCTTCATTCCTCTTTTTCCTCTTTCCCTTTCTCTTTCCTCTTCCCTTTCTTTAACTTTTGCAAACCCTAACATCTCAACTAGTTTATTCATCTCAATTAATCTCTATCTTTGCTAGGTTTTTTTGTTATCATCAAACAACAAAACCCACAAAAAAACATAAATTTTTCTTTTTATTTTTTGCCTTTGAGTTCAAAAGAACCCAGGTGTGCTGTGTTTCATCAAACCCAGTAGTCACCTTTTCTTTTTCTTTTCTTTTCTTTGCCTTACTGTTTTCATCAATCAATTCTTCATCATCATCAAACAACAAAACCCAAAAAAAAAAAAAAATTTAAAAAAAATTTTTTGCCCCCAAGTTTTAAAGAACCTAGGTGTGCTAGGTTTGAAGGAACCCAATGCTTGAGTTCCAAGGAACTTAGTGATTGTTGGGTTTAATGGAATCTAGCAGTCATTGGGTTCCAAGGGGAAAGAAAAAGGGAAAGAGAAGGAAAAAAAAAAAAAAAAAAAAGAATATTTTAAGTTTTTTTTTGTCATATTAATATTTTTTCGTCATACCATTATTTTTTTTCATGTCATCATTTTTTTGTCATGTTGTCTTCCCACATGTATTAAAATTTGACATATCAGCATGTAGTCATGAATTAACGAGGCACGTCATGAGATTTTTAATGAAATGATCAAGTTGGGGTTAAAATGATGAACAGTAAGAACCAAATTAACGATTTTTTGAATTAAAAGGCTAAATCGGGATCCATATGATAGTTGAGAAACTAAAACAGAGGTTAACCTTAAAAATAATTGTTTGTTGATGGATTAATTTAAGATATTTGGCATTCTCTTACCTTAGTTTGTATGTACTTTCAAATGTATTTGGTTGAATATCTAATTTAAAATTAATTAATTAAGGTAACAAGTTTTGTATTAATTTTATTTAACTATAAATAGAATATTTTAAATTTAAATTATATATCATATGAATAAAGTAAATTAAATAATATATGAAGGTTATTTTTTATTATGTAACTTAAAATTAAAAAAAACTTTAAATTAATTTGGAAAAACTAAAGTAATTGTAGTGTTAGAATATTTATTATTAAAATTGTCTGTTTTTGACTTAAAAAAAAATTTTAGGAACATATTATGTGTTTACTTACTATTTTAAAAAAGAAATTAATTTTTTTTTTCATTTGTATTCTCAAATCATAAGTTAAGAATGCATTTAATGTACAATTTAGTCA